CATGGCTGGCTCAGCGTGCCCCAGGGCACGGCCAGCGAGCAGGGGATCAAACCAGGATCCCTGCGCTTGCCTATGCAGGCGCTTAGTCCACTGAGCTGTCTTGGTGGGCTGAGGAACTGACAGTTTTTGAGGCACAGAACCCCAATGTGGGACAATACACAACAGGTGCACCAGCTGTTCAGAATGTCAAATAATGCTAGTCATCTATGATGAAAAAAAAGAGGCACAACTCATTCCAGACATCATTTTTTCAAGAAAGTAAACACAACTGAATCCATCGAAAAGCCCTTGTCAGCAGCATCAGGAATGAGCTCTTGAGCACATCTCTGAACGCTGATGGTCCTTCAGCTCCAATGGCGCCCACCTGCCCACCTCCTCTAGTCTCTCCTAGTCATTCACTCCCTGAAGTCCCCTATATGCGAGTCATATTGAATGGCACCACCGTTTTAAGATAACTGTACCTTAAAATAGCAAAAATGGTTTATTTACAATGTCGTTGTGGTCTTTTATGCTTTACATTGTATATTTGAACCAAAGGTGTATAAGACTCACTTTGTCCAACTTACAGAGGAATCTGACTTTTGAATGTTCTCCAAGAAGAGAACAAGTTCCTAAGTATGGATCCCTTTCGGCTCTGATCTTGCTTCCAACTGTTTTCCATGGTGTGTGTTCCCTCCTGCATGGGTTTACCACTCACTCCTCCGTGACTCAGGGGAAACTACCCTGTTCTGTGTCCTCACCTTGCTGCCACCTCTTTGACAGGTTTCTTGGAAGGTGCTTTCTTAGCTTCACAACTTCTAAATGCTGGGGTTCCTGTCCTTTGCCTAAGGCTCTCTCTACACCTTTCTGGAAAATCTCAGGAACCATGGCTTTAAATACATCCATTGAAAAAAATACATCCATGTACTAATAACTCAAGACCACAACTGTCCCTTGGGTTTAGCAGGCACATTGGTTCCAGGATCCCTCCCTCCAGGACAACAAAACCTCACATCCCTGATATAAAATGACACACTATTTATGTATAAATATAGAAATCCTCCCACATACGTTCAGGCATTTCTAGATTACGATATTGAATACAAAGTAAATGCTATACAAAACATTCTTACACTGAACTGTTTAGGGACTAACACAAGAAAAAAGTCTATACATGTTCAGTATACACACAAATTTTTCCCAAATATTTTCAGTCTATACTTGGCTGAATGCACATACGTGGAACCCAAGAATAAGAAGGGCCAATTGTCTATCTCTGACCCAGACTCTCTCCAGGCTCAGGCCTGTATTTCCAATTGCCTACTTGAGGGAACCACTGAAATGTCTCAAAGGCATTTTAAGTACACATACCATGTTAATTCGCCCACCTACCCTACACAAATTAGTGTTTAACCACAAAATTACTAGAGCTTGGGGATGATCTTTGGCATCTCCCTGTTCCTCCCCCTCCCTCTGTTTCCATCGATGTCAGATGTGCCAATACCACAGAATGGGCTACAGAACAAAGGAGGTTAAGAGCAGGAAAGGTTTATTGAAAGCACTTGAGAGACAGAAAGGTTCTTGCCACTGAGGCTTTGTCCAAGGCTATTTTATGCAGCAAAAATCATAATGTGGGTACAACATGGGTAGCTACAGGACAAACTACTTGCAGGATTAACAGCTGCTTAGCTAATAATGATCCAACAGAGAAGCAAAGCACATAGCAAGGGTACATGGCGAGCACCATTAACATTAGCTTATCTATAAATTCTAAAATAGAAAGAAAAAAGGCAGCCAAGTGTGGTGCCAAACCCAAGGCTGTAATCCCAGCCCTCAGGAGACTGAATGCTCCTCAGGATTGCAAGGTTGGCCTGAGTTTGAGGCCAGCTTGAACTGCATGGTGAGACAACACACAAAAAAAAAAAAAAAGGAGGAGGAGGAGGAGAACGAAAAGGAGGAAGAGAAGGAGGAGGAAGTGGAGGAGGAGGAGGAAGAAGAAGAAGGAGAAGAAGAGAAGAAGAAATAGGAGGAGGAGGAGGAAGAGGAAGAGGAGGAGGAGGAGGAGGAAGAGGAGGAGGAGGAGGAAAGGAAGCAAGCAAGCAAGCAAGCATGCCTGTAAAGGACAGCAGTGTGGGTCAGGGTATTCTGGTCACCCACCCATGCACCTTAAAACTACATCCAGCACAGTTCTCAAAGTTGCAGGGGGGCAGGGAAACAGTGGAAAGATGGAGACATAAAGACAAGAGTCAGAATTATAGAGAGCCTTTCCTTGTCCTTGTCTCAGTTCAAGAAGCTTGTATCTGTAATCCCACGGATAAGCTACTGGAATTCTAGTGAGTTAATTTCAACCTACCACAAGCAGTGCAACCCATGGTGAGAATAAAGACACTAAAGCATATTCGGAGTTATGGGGAGCCAAGGGGTCCTCAGTCCAGCCATGAGGATGGTGGCTAACTGGAACAAAGGCCTTGACTCAAGACTGAATCTAAATTGTGAAGAAAAGAGTAGCTGGGTCAGAGATATAACTCAATGGCACAAGAACCTGCCTGGCAAGCACAAGGTTGTGAGTTCAATTCCCAGTACAACAAAAGAAAAAAAGAAGCAAGCAAGCAAGCAAGCAAGCACGAGAGACTGTGAGAAGGGCAGAAAGGAGGTGAGTACCATACGCTGCACTAGGTAGAAGGCCTGCGTTGCATTCTCCTTTGCAATGTGCAGGGAGAAGGATGTGCAGAAAGAGTAATCTGCATTACACAATTGAAATGGTATCTAATGTTTTGGGTCCCAGCCCACAGTGTGGAGCATAGGTTTTTCATCCTGCCTCATCCTGGCTCACACAAGGGAACAACGGGTGGGCATTCTGGGGAAACACACCTGCTGTCTTCAAAAACTACCCAGCACCTAAGCTGAACGATATACAGTACTCAAAGCCAATTAAAGGGAAAGGAAAAATTCTAGCCAGCTCTGTACATACAAATACATGGAAATAGAGTCAGACTCAGCCAACATGGAGACAATTGCCCCTCTAAAGGATAGTCAACCAAGTGGTCCTCCACAAGAACATAGAAAGTTGAGGTTAGGGGAGCCCTCTCTCTAGATGGGAGGAAAGGACCTGCTCAACCGCCAGCACATTTATTTGTACACTGAGCCAGTTGTCATGTGACACCCCTCTGCCTAGAAACCCTTAGCGATTTGGACCTGAGTGGCTTTTCCACGTGGCTCGCTCTGTGCTCTTTCTTCCGCAGACTGGCCTTGCTCCAGCTTCAGCCTGTCCTCACATCCCCACGCCTGATGCCTGGATGAGCCCACTGAACCAGGTGGTACTAACTGCAGTACAATCCCAGGCTGCTGTTTGCTCTAGGGAGGGTCATAGGCCTGACTGTGGCATCTCCATCCTGAAGCCCCACCCTCCTCAAATTTGCCTCCAGCCACAATTTTGATGTTTTATCCCCTGCACTCACTCCCTGACGGCCCAATCCTTGTCTGTCAAAAAAAATTTTTTTGGAGGGGGCAGAACCAGGGATTGAACTCAGGCCCTTGTACTTGCCAGGGAAGCTTTTATTCTACTGAGCCATCTCCCCAGCCCCCAAAGTTTTTTATCTCAGGGCCAGCCAAATAGTTCAGTGGATTAAAGCACCTGCATAGGTAGAAGCAGTGGCCAGTGGCTGGGGTTTCTTGTGGTGCTGGCCCCACTCCCAGGGCACACTGAGATGGCGATTGAAACTGGGTGTGGTGGCACATGCCTGTAATCCTAGCTCTTGAGAGGCTGAACATAGGCAGGCAGATCACTATGAGTCTGATCTATGTGGTGAGACCCTGTAGACCCTTACCAAAAAAAAAAAAAAAAAAAAAAAAAATCTCATTTAACTGTCTCTAATACTTCCAATCTGGCTTAACTTGAAATTGAGATCCTCCTGTCTCAGCCTCCAACATAGCTGGGGTTACAGGTATGCACTTGTACTTTTCCTTCAGTTTTACCATAATTGGTAAACATATATTAGTGTGGTGGTTTACTATTTCCTGGATTGTAAATTCTAGGAGGCCAGAGCCAAGGTCACTCCTGATAGTAGCTCCGCCTCATCCACATCCACCCATTTAGAAGTTTCCATCAGGTCCTCAGTAAATATTTGATGGAAGAAATGAATACATGGGTGGGTTAAATGATGGAGAACTCTGCCCTGTGTTGTAGGATAGTCTTGAATCTTTCCCCAAATCAGGACACACAGGTTAGTTGCCTTAGTTCTACCTACAGGCCTTCTGCAAGCCTGTTCTGCCACTCTCCATCTTGTAAATGTACTTTTCATCCAAATAATCTGGGCAGATGGGGAGAGGAAGGGAAAGTTAAAATGATTAAAATTTATATGTAAACCAGCATAGCGATGTACATCTGTAATCCCATGGAGGCTGAGGCAGGAGAATCACTGTGAGTTCAAGGCCAGCCTGAACGACATAGGGAGACCCCCGAACTCAAAAACAAAAACAAACAAACAAACAAAAAAAACCAACAACAACAAAAAAACACCAGAAAGAACTAGAGCTAGAGCTCTGAAGCCTAACTGCCTGACTGGCAAGTGCAAGGGCCATAGTTCCATTTCTGATCACACACACACACACACACACACACACACACACACACACACACACTATGCATATGTACCAGTTCCCGAAGATGAATGAAATTATGTGTCACAAACATATATTAATAAAAAAAGAGAAAACTAACCTGGGCACAAGGCAGTAGCTGTAACAATCGCAGACCAAATAAAGAGGATTGTAACACAGACACTATACGTGGCCACGCCTGAGACCCCAGGTCTGAGCGTGATCCTGCTGCTCACTAACTCCATTCAGGCGGGCCACGGGTGCCCCTCCCTGCCCGGGACCCCGAGCGGCCGCTCGAGTCTTCCGTACAGCATGGCGGCTCCCGGGCCCGCGGAGCGGGACAGAGACTTCCGTACAACAGGGCCGCCTGCAGGGCGGAAGCCACGCCCCCTTCCGCTTGGTCACCGGACGTTTCCATTTAAAACGGAGGCGGCAGCGCTAGCTTGTAGTTCGGCGGTTGCTGCCGAGCGTTTTTTGAACTTGAGTGCCGAGGATTGCAGACCAGAGCGGTGAGCGCTTCACAGGACGAGGGTGTGACTTGGGGGGTGGAAGGGGTTGCCAGCTGCGAGCAGACCAGGTCCCCCCCCCCCGGAGCCGGTGTCGGCCGGGTCGTTCGGCCCGCAGCCCAGCGTTGGTTAACACTTTGCATCCACCAGGGCCCAGCCTTGTCGCCTTGTCACGATGACCACTGTGGCGAAGACCGTGGACAGCGTGCAGTCCCTAACTGTGCCCAGCGGCGGCCCGCCCGCAGGTGGGTATCCGTTGCCTATGCCTCCTGTCCGCCCTTTGCCCTACTGCTTGCTGCTTCGTGGAACTCGCGCCTCACACACGCCTGTACTGCGCACACCGATTCGGTTCTGATCACCAGTTGTTGTGCAATTGTATTCTCATTAAGTTTTGGAACCTTTGTACAATTTCCGTTTTGTTTCCAGACTTGGGATATCTTGCAGGGCAGAGTCTGTTGTCCGGAAAGTGTCATTTGACAAGTGGGATGCATGTGGGGACGTGTTAGGGTTCTCTGCTGAGGTTGGTATCTGCACTGACTTACTTGTACATTGTCAGTAAATGCTGAGGGACGTGGGAGAGAGCGGTCAGGCCTAGCCAGACCCTTTGAGAACCCTGGAAGAAAAGAGAAATACTCCCAAAAGCATAATTTTTCTTTGCCGTCTTGTGCAGTCTTGCTCGGGGCTGAAATTATCTCCCAAGATCTGCATGTCTTTTGCTACCTGATCTAGAGATTAGAGCTTAGAACAAGCCCCAGTCGCTGGGAGATGGTTGTGGGGCAGGGGATGGAGCAGCCGCTTATGATGATCCCTTCCCAGGTGACTCCATGAAGCTGTATGATGAACAGTGACAGGATTGATCTCTAAAGTGAACAGGCTTTTCTCTCAAGGCTTCAGAACACCTGAATGGTAATCTTGGCATCAGCAGGGACTAGGCGCTGCTAGAGGACTGCAGCAATTCTCCCCAGAAACCCTGTTGTCCTTCCCTCTCTTGCAGTGCCCCTTGTCAGCACACTGTGACTGGGTGGTTTTCATCTCTGCTTTCCAATACCTTTCCCAGCTTTATGATGTAACTGCAACACTAAATTTGGGGGGCTATCTCCCAGCCAAAAATCGGGGCAGAATTCATTGGTTTTTGTTTTTTTTGGATAAGTTTTATACATTTTTTAAAAAAGGAAATGAGGGGCCAGGGAGATGGCTCAGTGGAATAAACGCTTCCCTGGCTAGCGCAAGGGCCTGAGTTCAATACCTGGTTCCAAAAAAAAAAAAAGAAAGAAAATGAGAGCTGGGTGTGGTGGTACATACCTGTAATCCCAGCATTCTAGAAGCTGAGCAGGGAGGATTGCCTAGAGTTCAAGGCCAGCCTGAACTACATAGCAAGACCTTTTCTTGAAAAATAAATGCAAATGCCAAATTTCCTAATCTCGGTGATCTAGCGCTTTGTGCCTTACTTTTCCCATGTGATTTGTTATGGCCCTTAATTTCAGCCAAACTTAAAGGGACTATTTTACAGTAAATATTGGATATAATCTTGGAAAACTGAGGCTGAGGGTGTAACTCAGTGGAGAGGATTTATCCAGCACGAGCAAGGCCTCATTAACTTAAAAAGTAAAACCCTTGTGTCAAGGAGTTTAGCCTTAAATCCTGTATAGATATGTACTTGAATTTGCCAGGGACTACAGTCACTGTACATGGTAGATAGTGTGTGGTAGAAGGTAAAGATGGAGGAGGCATGCTTTTTCTTTTTCTTTTTCTTTTTTTTTTTAATGTGTTTGGTTGTTACAGGGTCTCACTATGCAGCTTGGACTCATAGTGATCCTGTTGTCAGCCTTCCCAGCACTGGCATTACAGGAGTACACCACTGCTCAGCCTGCCCTGGGGACGGGGTTGTGCTGGCATGGCATGTAGTGCCAGGTTGAGCCTGTCCCTGCGTGGTCCCTTCCTGTGCTGAGCTATCTTGCTGGTCCCTGAGATAGAATCTTTCCGCTTCACTTAAATGGGTCAGCCTCCCAGAGTGCTGGGATTACAGGCCTGCACCACACTCAGTTAAGAAAATGCTTTTGTGGGGAAGAAGTCTATTGCTTTAGGGCCATTTCATGGTTATCTGGCCCTGGCCCAACAACGACATCAAAAAAAAAAAAAAAAAAATGCCAACTAGGAAGCCTCTAAACTTGCTGGCCACGGTGGTGTAATCCTGTAATCCCAGCTAGATGGGGAGGCTGAGGCAGGAGGATCACAAGTTCATGTCTAACTTGGACAGTTTACACTTTGTCTCAAATAAATGCTGGGGATATTACTCAGTAGTAGAATGCTTGCCTCAAATGTGTGGAGCTTTGGGGTTCAATCTCCAATATCTCATACATACACACAAGTAAATTTAATTATCAACAAAAAGCCAATATTAGAGTCATTCACCATGGAAGAGAAACTGAAGACAAGAGGAGGCAGTTGACAAAGTGTCTAGCAAACTGAAGTATTTTATTTATTCTACCAGTATTTGTGCTTCCAGTCATATGCCAAATACTCCAGTGGGTGCCCAGGACATGCACATACATTGGGAGTGGTTAGGAAAACAGTCTGGTGAAAATGGGAAACAGTTAAAAGAAAACTAAGAGCGTGTAATTGGGGAGAATGTGCAGAGTGCTTCAGGAATAACATAACTGTATTGAATTCAAAATAAAATAAGATAATGGTATTGAAGCATCAGCTGAGTTTACTTCCATTCAGACTTATGTTAAGCTCTTTGTTTGTTTTTGGCGGAACCGGGGATTGAACTCAGGCACTTGCACTTGCCAGGCATAAGCTCTTTTTTATATCAATGTCCATGTTTACATTTATTCCTTCAGCCATTAGGCTGGCTGCATCATGAACACTGAACTGTCACCTCAAAAGAATTTTCCTTTTTAAGTCAGGTATCAATGACACAATAGGCATCCTGGCCTCTGGGAAGCCAACGCAGTAGAACTGCAAGTTTAAGCTTAGCCTGGACAACTTAAGCAACTTAGCAAGACCCTGTTTATTTATTTATTTATTTATTTATTTATTTATTTTTATTTGAGAAACAGATAGCAATGAGACAGTTTCAAAAAACGATTAGGACAGTTTCAATAATTAACACATTGCATATTGTTGTCTAAGACCCTGTTTTAAAAAAATAATAAAGGGGCTGGGGATGTAGCTCCAGAACCACCAAATAACATTTTTAAAAAGATGAATTTCTATTTTCATTTAGTGTTGCAGTGTTATTCTTTGGATTAATCTTTACAAATTGAAATTGGCCCATATGAAAAATCCAAGGCACATACCTTGGAATGGAGCTGTTTCCTCTAGGACTACAGCTGCTAAATCATGGTGTTCAAGGGCTCACTCTCTCCTTTTTCCCTTGCAGATACAAAAACGCTAGCTACTTCTAAGAGCCTGTTACCTGTTAAATTAAAAAAAGTCATCACTTCCAGAAATCTTCATTCCAGCAGTGAGACTACGAAAATCATCAAAGCAAAACAGGAGAATGGGTGAGAGCAGATCACTGGGTTAGAGCGTCCTGATGAGGCTAAGGGTGTAGCTGGTGGTAGAATGCTTGCCAAGCAGTTACAAAACCCTGGCTTTAATTCCCAAAAGCACAAAAGAAAAATATATCTGGAAATTGCTAAGGATCGAGTTTAAAAATAGGGCTTGAGGTTGGGTGTGGTACTGTAAGGCTGTAATCCTGGTGCTCTGGGAGGCTGAGGTAGGAGGATCATGCGTTGACACTCACTGAGCAATTTGGTGGGACCTTTTTCAAAACTAAATGGAAAAAAAAAAGTGTTGGAGATACAGCGCAGTGTGAAGGTCCTGGATTCTATCTGCACTAGCAGAGAGGGAGGGGATGGTATTAGAGCGCACTGGTCTGTAGTCTGGGACCCAGATCCCCGGGCAGCATTGCTGAATTGTCAGGCAGTTGGGGTGGTCAAAAGGCCTTTCCCTACTTTGTTTTTTTTTTTTTCCTTTCTTTCTTTTTATTTATTTATTTTCTTTTGGAGACAGGTTTTCTCTCTAGCTCAGGTTGGCTTTGAACTCTCAATCCTCTGCAGCTCCTGAGTTGCTGGGACTGCAGCCATGTACCACTGCATCTGGCTTCTTCTTTATTAAAAGAAACCTTCTTCGAAGCCAGGCACAGTGGCACATGCCTGTAATCCCAGCACTTGGGAGGCTCCAGCACAAGGACTAAGTTTGAGGCCAGCCTGCGCTACATAGACCTGGGCTCAAAAAAAAAGCCTTTTTGGATACACTGCTGAAACCAAGTACAGAGCCTGCAGGCTCTCAGGCCTGTGCTGTGTGCCTCACAAACCCTACCTTTGCTTCACCTCACAGCACAGTACACTAGTGTATGATTATAGCCTAAGAAGTTGGTTAGGCTCTTTGTTTTTGCTTCTACAGGCAGATGCAAGTTGCCGAATCCTGCAGTAAGAGGAACTTCAGAAAGAGGTGAGCATCCAGGAAAGTAAGCCGGGCCACACTGTTAGGAGTTGGCTGCAACCCTAGTGCGCATCAGAGTTGTTCTTGGGAATTGTGAGAGTTTTTTAGTTGGTGTTTTGTAGTTACTTTTAAAGAGTATTCATTAGTACTTCTTTGCAGTGATGATTGTTCCTTGGGGGAAGTTGCTTCTTGTATATAACTCACCTTAATTCATTCTGCAGCCCCTTCCACCTCCCTCCCTGGTCCCCTTGTCATGGAGTGTGTTTTGTGGGTCACAGCATGGGTACCATCCTAGATACCTGAGTGGAATTTTTAGCACTAAGACCCAGCCAGATGTGGGTGTTGCCATCAACAAGGCAAGAATCAGTAGTGCCACCATCTTGGGTCCCAGATAAGAGTCTTTGCCTCTGCCAAGATTGCTACTGCTGGCCCAGCACCAGGAGTGGAAAGCTTCTGCAGTGGGGGTGCAGGAAGAGAAAGTACTAGCAAGCAAGCTTGACATAACAACACATACCTGTACTACTTGCCACTCAAATGAAGTTTTAATGATGATGACCATGGCTATTTTTTGTTTGTTTGTTGTGTTGGTTTTTTGAGACAGGGCCTTGCTGCATAATTAGGCTGACCTTGAACTCACTGTATAGCACAGGTTAGCCTCAAACTTGTGATCCTCCTGCTTCAGCCTCTGGAGTGTTGGGATTATAGGTGTGCACCACCATACCCAACAATAGTGGCTATTTACTGTATGTTTATCATGTGTCAGTAGCTGAGCTAAGCATTATGCATGGGTTTTTCTTTTATTCTTTGTGATGATATTGTGAAATGATAATGTTCTAGAAATGAGGAAACAGCCAGGTGATACAACTCACTGCAGGTCATATATCTTAATTCTAGAAATTCAGAAGCACAGCCTCAGGAAGTATATACAACAGGTAATCACTGTGTAACAAAGCCAGAATACAGACCCATTTGAGGAAATCTGTAGTCCACACTCTTGCCTCTTCTATTTCTCCATGGAAGTACAACTGTTGTTACAGCTGCAAGCCGTTGAGGGAACAAAAATCAGAGGAAGAGCTAAAAGATAAGAATCAGCTTTTAGAGACTGCCAACAAGCAGTTGCACCAGAAGTTGATTAAAACTCAGGTAAGAGCCTGATGCAATGGCACACACTTGTAATCTCACCAGTCAGTAGGCTAAGGCAGGATCATGAGTTCCAGGCCAGCCTGGGCTATGTAGTAAGACCCTGTCTCAGAAACAAAAAGAAAGGGCTGGCAAGAGATAGCTCAGAGGATAAAGGGGTCTGCTTGGGCAAGTTTAGGGACTGGGGTTCAATCCCCGTCATCACATGCCGTGCCTGAGCCGGCCACTGAGACCAGACTTGGTGGCTCACGCCTGTAATCCCAGTGCTGGGGAGGCTGAAAATAGGAGGATCACTACGAGTGCAAGCTGCGTAGTGAGACCCTGTACTAAATACATCAAAATATTTAAAGGAACAAAGTTAAGAGATGTTTACCATCTGCACCTGAAATCAAATAGGTGGGAGAGAGCTGCTGGGGGCAGGCGGAGCAGCAGCCAGGCTGGCGCTACGCAGAGCGCTGGCGGAGACACCTAGCACTGGCAGGACAGTTCTTGATGTCTCTAACTCTCCAACAGGGAGAGCTGAAGGACCTGACCCAGAAAGTGGAGCTGCTGGAGAAGTTTCGGGACAATTGTTTAGCAGTTTTAGAGAGCAAAGGCCTCAATCCAGGTGAGAGATCACCTCTCTGCAGGTAGGCCCCTTCTGTGGGGGGAGCACAGGTGCCCTTCCAGGGTGACTGACAGCGCTACATGCCCTGGCCCAATGAGTACAAGAGTTGCTTGTCATTAAGCCCCACAAAAAAGCATATTGAAGCTGTGGGTGGCCCTGTATTTTGATGGGTCAAAGTATAACTTAGAAAACAATTTTCAGGATGTACCCAGATCCAGATCTTTGGAAAGTTTAAATGGTAACTGTGACTTTGACACAAATAAACATTTAAAATGAAATTGATACAGATTTAAAAAAAAAAAAGTTGTTTGGCAAAGTCCTAAAGGTTTTTGAGTGTGTCTCTTGGTTTTTGTGTGATACTGATTTCTGCATAACCAATAGAATTTCAGACGACTACAGAGAAGGAAGCTTTTCTCTCTCTTATTGAGTACTCTATGCCATTCATTTGGGGCCAGTAGATATGACCTGGCAACCAGATTAGAAACCTTGTGTTCCTGTCAAGTGAGGCAACGCTTACTGGTAATTTATCCACATGAAGACTTGGGGACAGAATAAGGATAAATGAATGCGACATAGAGTGCTGTCATCTCAGGGCTTCTCAAATCTGGCTAATCAGCAATGTCATGATGGCTAAAATGTGACTCCTAGCTAGAGGTATAGATTGGTGGTAGAGTGTGTGTTAGGATACTCAAAAAGAAGTGACCTGCATTCAGACACTGCCTGGAGAGCAGTCAGTAGCAAAGAAAAGAACGGAAGGAGAAAGTGATTGCCCTTGGCTGAACTGAAGACCAGAGCGTGCCCAGGAAAGTGGAATTAAGAGTACTGATTTTCAGTGCGAACAGCTAACCTGTGGGTTGTTGTTTTCGTGTGTGTGTGCGTGTGTGTTTGTCTGTATGTCTCTCTCTCTCTCTCTCTCTCTCTCTCTCTCTGTCTCTGTCTCTGTCTCTGTCTCTCTGTCTCTGTATCTGTGTGTCTGTCTGTGTGTCTGTCAGTCTGGGTTGGGGGGAGTCCAGGAATTTGAACCACATGTCCCACCGCTGAGCTATGTCCCCGACTCCAGCTTAGATACTCTTTATGTTTGCCATAAACATTTTGTATGATTTTCACCCCCTGAATAGAGTGTTGGTTTTTTGGTTTTACTTTTTTTTTTTTTTTTTCTTTTTGTGGTACTAAGGCTTGAACCCAGCTTCTTTTATTTCACTAGACCTTTTTATTTTTTTTTTTGACCTTTTTATTTTTTTAAGTATAACATTCAACTTATTATTTCTTCCTCAAGAGAGTTTTCTTCAGTCCATTAAGACCCAGTTCTCCTCACATGGGCTTTGGTGGAGGTCATGGGGCAGCACCAGCAGGTCTAAATCAGGGTGGAGGAGTTCGGTCCTTGTGGGCTTCACAAGGTCGACTTCTGACCTTTGCTGTGACTGGTACAACTCACACAGTAATGCACATACAGCTTGGGAAGCACATAACCGTCGAAGACACTCACTTCGGAAATGTCCCTGATGGCAGCGGCCTCCACTATGTTCCAAATGACAAACTTCTTAATGGCCTTATCCTTGGGTACGCACCGGGCGCAGTGTGTGCAGGGAAGAGGCTGCACATGACCATGGCCCTTTTTGGCATGACCATTGTTCCTTCTTTTTTTCGTCATCTTGGAAAGGAGGACCTGAAAGAGTTAGACCTTTGTTTTTGAGACAGGATCTCACTAAGTTTCCCAGGCCAGCCTTGAATTTGTGACCCCTGTGCCTCAGCTTCCCCAGTGCTGGGATTATAGGTGTATACCACCATGCCCAGTTTCTTGTTGTTTTTGTAGGATCAAGATTTTTATAAGTTTTTTGTGTGTTGTAACAAAACCAAAAAATTCTATCTTTAGGTTTCCTCTGGATAAATTTTCTACTGAGCTAAGGAAAGTAGGATGAATTTTTTTTTTTTTGGTGGTACCAGGGATTGAACTCAGGACTTTATGCTTGCCAGGCAAGTTTTATTCTGAGCTATGTCCCTGGCCCAGTAGGATGAATTTTGACCATATAAAAACTTGAAGTGCAAGAAGGTGAAATAGTTGCAGAGGGCAGGAGTGGGTGACTTTGCCTAAGACCAGGCACTCAGAGGCTTCCCCGGGAATGGACTCCTGTACTTCTCCATGGAGGTTTTGCTTTCTCCTGCTTACACTGTGGTTCCTGCTGCAGCTGACTTTACTGTTTCCATCTCTTCTAGGCAGCGACACTGTGGCATCGCAGCAGGAACCCTCTACAAATCATGAGGACTCTGTGGTGAGGGCGTGGGTGGGAGGAGCAGGGCCAGGTGACCTAAGAAGGTCTGTTGTATGCTAAGTAGCAAATTTTACCTGAAAGATGGCTTTGTGCTTACAAATATAAATATTCTGATTTTGTGTGTGTGTGTGTGTGTGTGTGTGTGTGTGTGTGTGTGGTACCAGGGACTGAACTCAGGACCTTGCACTTGCCAGACAAGTGTTTATTCTACTGAGCTATCTCCCTGGCCCCAAACATAAATATTCTGAATTGAAAATGTACTACTACTATTTTTCTTTTTTTCTTTTCTTTTTTTTTTTGGGGGGGGGTGCCAGGAGTCAAAGACAGGCACTGTACCACTGAGCTATATACCCAGCCTTTTTTTTTTGAGAGATGGTCTTGCTATGTAGTTCAGTCTGGCGTTGAACTCACTATGTAATCCAGGCTGGTCTCAAACTCTCAGCAGTTCTGCTCAAAAATTCTGGGATTACAGGCCTGTACCACCATGCTGGTGAAAATTCACTACTTTAAAAAATATCATGGGCCTATAATCCCATCTCCTGAGAGGCTGATGGAGAAAATTTATAACTTTCAGGCCAGGGGGTAGGGAGATAGCTCAGCAGCATAAGTGCCTGCCTGGTAAGCACAAGGACCTGGGTTCGATCCCCAGTACTGCAATGCTATGCTGGCCACAGAAACAGGGTGTGGTGACGCATGCATGTGATCCCAGCACTGGGGAAGCTGAGTCGGGAGGATCACTACAAGTCTGAGCTGTGTAGTGAGATCCTGTACCAAATGAATAAATTTTAAAAATTATAACCTTGGGGCCAGCCTGGGCAACTTGATAAGACCATGCCACAAAAGGAAAATTTACAAAAGGTTAGGAATGTAGCTCAGTAGTAGAGCACTTGCCTATTTTAGTTCAATCCCTATCACAGATAAAACTACATGATAGAGTGAGCCTGTGTAGAGAGCTTTCTGGTTTCTCCATTCTGCACTTTATCAAATTTCTTCTGTAGTCCTTTGCTGAGAACTATATGATGCAAAGGTGTAGTCTGTTAAGTTTGTGTTTGCAGGGGTTTTATGTTCCTTCTCTAAAGGAGAAAGATGGTATGTTTGGCCCAAAAGTCCTTCATACTGTGCAGTCTCTTCAGGAAGCCCTCTTCAGCTCCCTGGAGCAATCAGTCACCCCTTGTGCAGCTTCCATGTTTTGTTCCTAAGTTCTGGGTAGCACTGTGTGACTGCCTGGCTCTTCATCACTCAGTCCACTAAAGAGGTCCTCAAGGGACCAGACAGAGAACCCTGCATGTGGGGTTGGTCCTCAGTGGGAGATGTTCACATTGTCATCATCTAATCCAGTTCTTGGGTTATTTTCCTCCTAGTTGCTGTTAGAATCTTTGCAAGATGAGTTGGAGCTATTTAATGAAACTGCCAAGAAACAATTGGAAGAGTTACAGGTGAGGGGCATACATCCTGAGGCAGGAGTATCATCTCATACTTCCTTAGGTCGATTAAAAAGGAATAATCTTTCTTTCCTATTTTCTGTTCAATAAACTATTTGGAAATAATTGCAGTTTTACACAAAATTCCCAAGACAAAACAGAAAATGCAGTTACCCTAATAGTAACATCTCACACTATCATTGTACATTTTTCCAAACTAAGAAACACTATGACATTAATAACTAAATTCCAAAACTTTATTTAGATTTGACCAATTTTTTTCTCACTAATTTCCTTTTTCTGTTCCTGAGGACTTTTAAAAAGGTTCCCATGGGGCTGAGGAGATAGCTCAGCAGTCTAAGTGCCTGCCTGGCAAGTACAAGGACCCAGGTTTGATCCCCAGTACCACATGCCCAGAAGGTTCCCAGTTGAGGGCTGGGTACAGTTCAGTGATAGAGCACTCGCATACTGCCTAATAATGTGTACAAGGGCTGGAGTGGCATCCCTAACAGCACAAAAAAAGAAGTTCACATCTCCAGGGGATGAGGAAGCCTGCATCTCTGTAGGTTGTTTTAAGTTGTCAGGAGAGACTTGTGTGAAATCATGCTGTATCTCAAGGAAGAGACTGGTAAGAATTCTAGATTTTTGCATCTGGGCTTCTTCAAATCTTGGTGAATCATGGGGTATTGCATGGGACACAGAGGAATTCATAGTCCTAGTTTAGATACAGATGTTTACAGCATAGAGATTCAAGACAGGGAGCACCATGTGTGTTGGATTCCTTTGTCAGTGGAGTAGACGTGTGATGTTCTCGTATGGGCATTGTCTTTCCCTGAATCAAGAGTTGTTGGTTTTTTGTTTTTTCTTTTGCAATACTTTTTCCTGCAGGCCTTAAAAGTAAAGTTGAAGATAAAAGAAGAAGAAAGAACCCAATTCCTAGAACAGCAGAACTTATATAAGCATCAAGTTACTGATTTTACAAAAGTCCTGGAGGAAATAGACCAGCTATTAGAAATGTAATAAAAAGAAATTGGCCAGATGGCTCCTTCTTGGGGATGAACTCCCAGAGGAAGCCACTTAGGACATGTGCTGAGCCACGGTCTTCCAGGACTGCATATCCCCAGAGTGAAACAGTTTGTGCAGACAGATTAGGGCAGTTTATTGCTGGAACAGCAGTTCCTCCTTTAAGCAGGTTTCTTCATCTTTGGATTGGTCCACTCTGCTGAGCCTCACAGTGGATAACGGAGGCTTCAAGAGGGAGGCCTGAGAGGTGGACTCCGAGGCTACGACAGCACGGATCAGGAGACTGAAGCCAGGCACAGTGGCGCACATCTGTGATCCTGCGCTGAGGAGGCTGAGGCAAGCAGAGGATCACTGGAGCCAAGGAGTTCAGGATGAGCCTTGCAACACAGCAGGATGCCAGCGGAACAAACAAACCAATCAGGAAGCTAAACCAGCCACATGGAAGGACCTAGGCAGTCACGTTGAGATTTTTGAAAACCCTTGGTTACAACTGGAACACCTTCATTCCAGTGGGAGGTGACACTGAGAAGTCCTGCTGTCCACTTCTTACTTGCAGTGCGTTGTATCTCTCCGTGGTTGGGCTCTGTACTTTATTGTGCGTTTATGAACTTGAAGTTGCTTGAAGGATTTTTGGCTTAATAAATGAAGTAAAGAAAAAATGGGTGCAGTATCAGTATACATCTGGAACTTTTAATCTAAGCTGCATTTGCTTTTTAGTTAAAATATTGTAAGATGGCTGTGGTGATGCAGATTTGTAATCCTAGTCCTCAGGAGGCTGAAGCACAAAGATTGCCATGGGCTTGAGGCCAGTCTGAACTACATGGCAAGACCTCATCTCAAAAAATAAAATCGCCCGGCATGGTATTACATGCCTGTAATCCCAGCACTCAGGAAGCCAAAGCAGGAAGATTGCCACAAGTTCAAGGCCAGTCTGGGCTACATAGTGAGTTCAAGGCCACCCTGAACTACATAACAAATACCTGACTTGGGTCCAGGGAGATGGCTCAGTGGAATAAGCGCTTCCCTGGAAAGCGCAAGGGCCTGAGCTCAATCCCCTGTTCCGCAAAAAAAAAAAAAAAAAAAACCCTAACTCAACAAAAAAGAAAGTACTGCTTCTGAGCAGCAGAATATTATGAATCTCAACTGTAACATTGAGAAATTAGCCTTTTAGCCTAAACATGTCCACTGAACATTATATGGTTTTTTGTTTTTGTTTTTTTGTATTTT